TGCAAATAAAACAAAAGGCAAAAACTTTTTTTTATATTTATGCATTTTTGAAATAAATAGACCTCACGTTGGTGCGGCTCTGTTTGCTTTTACCTTTGTCTTGTTTTTTTCTAAATAATTAATTCTGACACTTTTTGATGCACACATAGTCAGTTATTAATACTTTCAGAGGACCTGACAGACTCTTGTGGTTTCAGAAGAAAAAGTAAATGTTGGCAATTTTCAAAAGGACCAGACAACCACTCTGAATAGACATTTCATCAGGCGGCACAGTGTTGCAGTTTCCTGTTTTTGACAACAAAACAAGACCCCACGTTCTGCTCTGCTCTTTAGATTGAGCCCACTTAAGTTCACCGGCAGTATAAATAATACAATAAATGAATCGTTCCAGTCTAACCCTGGTGGTACAGTTGTCCAGTAACCCTTCACTCACCAGTCATCATGTTTGCAAGCACAAAATGTAAAGCTGTGGGATCTCAGTGAAAAAAATATTTAAACACGACCAAGTTAGAAACCGATAATTATATAACACTTTACAATAAGGTATACAAAATTTGATTAACTACTAGGGAACGCCTGAGGAACGAATCAGGAGGTAATGGGTAGTTAACCAGTACTTAATGGCGAACACACAGCCAAGCCTTATTAGGGGACTACTGGTTTGTTACCTCAGAAACAAAGGAGAAATTCTCCATGTGGGTTCTGAATAAACCCTGCACCAGTGAGGTCACAGCTTGTAATAGTCAAAAATCTGTTTCCTAGAGATTACTCAGTTTATTGGATTTTTCTTTTGTAAACCTAATGATGAAAGACATTATCAGTTTCATAAACTTGTACTGGTGTCATGTTACCTATGTCTGACTATCACTTACTGATACCAAATCATTGTCTGGCTTTTATTTTGTTCACTGATGTAGTGAAGCATCATACCAAGTATTTACGGAGGAACCAATCATTACTTAATCACTACCCTTTTTTTTGCATTCAACCTTTATTACCTACTGGTTTGTTCCTGTGGTAACAAACCAGTAGTCCCCTAATAAGGCTTGGCTGTGTGTTCCCCAGTAAATAATGGTTAACTACCCATTAGCTCATTCATTCCTCTTTGGTTTCCTTGGTAATTACCCATTAGTTCTTGATTAGTTCCTCTTCATTTACAAGGTAATTAACCAGTAGTCCCCTAATAAGGCTTGGCTGTGTGTTCCCCAGTAAGTACTGGTTAACTACCCATTAGCTCCTGATTTGTTCCTGATTCGTTCCTGAAGCTTCCCCTAGTAGTTAATCAAATTTTGTGTACCTTATTGTAAAGTGTTACCTTATATTGACATTAGTGTAATTTCCTCATGGACGCACAGTAACTAGAAGCTTTTATTTTATTTTTACATTCATAGAAAGTCATAAATACGAGTTATACAAGAACCACTGTGACAAATTGATTTGTGAGCGACTTAAAGGCCACAAATTGAGTTTGTTTTTTTATTTTGGAACAAGAAGTCCAATTTAAATTCAGTGATGAGTTCTTTTAAAGTTACCTGCAGCACACTGATCAGAAGAAGTGAATTCTGACAGGGCATGTTTAATCAAAATGACACAACTTAGCCAAAGTCTTCCATAACCATGACATGAGATCGCCACAACGAAGTGATGCGTTGCACGAGAAGACAGGATCTCCATGCAGGAAAACAGGAAGAGGACCAGAGGCACAAGGAAACTTCAGATTAGTAAAGTCTTTCTACAACAAGAGTCTTAGAGCTGTCACTAGTTACCTGAAGGTAGTGCAATGTCACAGCAGAGAAGATCTGGACCAAAGATCCTTAAATACTCCTAGAAGCTCATGAGCCAAGAGTCAGCTGTGAACCATTAGTCTCATGCTGCTGCTCAGCAGCTGCAAAGAAATGGTTAACTAATATACTGGAATCCCAGAGTTATTAACGTTAGAAAATCAATTTCTTCTGAGTTGATTCAGTATATGTTGATTTAATGACTACCCTCTGACCTCCATATTTTATAGTGGAATGCACATAATTGATTGAGTTATTAATTATTAATTTCACATTATCCTATCTGTGGGTGGGGTTGTCTCATCGTCTGGATCATTCATGAAGAATGAACTCTGACCTTGTTTTGGCTTTCATTAATGTTTTTTTTTTCGTTTTTGTTGGAAAATAAAAAAACGTTCAAGGTCAAGAGACTCGGAACAACTTTCTCAGACGATCAGTCTGTTTCACCACAGTTATCTTGAAGATACAGCTGCAAACAGGTGCAACTAGTTTCACTGTGAACCTTTCTTGTGTTGTGGCAGTGAATGTATCAATTGGCATCTTAGTTCTTAATGTGACAGATCTGAGGGAAATTATTATTATTTGTTTAGAGCATGAACACTAAGCTGTACTTAAAATTTTCCTTTTTAAATTTTGCAATATCAGCTATTTTTTACACTGCAGCTGAGATCTCTGGAAGTTTTATGACTTGTGGTTGGTATCCAGTGGAAAAATGTGGAAAACGCCCATTTGAGCTCTTTTCTTGGACTCGTTGTTTGGCTCATCTCACTGTAATGACCCTGCTCTTTCATTTCTTAAATGACCCTTCACTTAGTACTTGTGAGAAGCCATATGTGAGCTGAAAGAGTTGTCCTTTTTGCTGAACTAAACCAAATGATCTTGGAAAAGAAATGGAATTCCCATCACGAGAACATGAAGCTCTTCAATGAAGTTTGAGATATCAACTTGAACAGGACACCATAGTCTAAAAAAGGAAAGAATGTCAAATGAAATTAGGACTAAATACTGAAGGAGATGATGAAATAAATGCAACTGAAGATCAGGTGTGATGTCAAAACAGGAAGTAAATGAACTGAATGCACAAGGAATAGAATGTTACAAGATAAAACGGGAAACAAGATTGAAGATAACATATTCTTAACAATTCAGGCATTGTACAAACTCAGCTGTGAAAACTAAACAAAGCCAAACTCAGAAACCCTTTTCTACTACAGCATCATAATGAAGGACACGCCTTCCCTCGCTTTCAGGAGGACTGAAGGTTCTGTTTTATGCTACAGACACAAAGTGACAGTAACAACTGAAGAAAACGTGTAAAACCTCAGTTTGAGATAAAACTGTCATTTAGCAAGCTTTTAGGTAAACCATCTAATTCTCAAACTCATTTGCCTGAATTGTACATCACTTATAAAGGATTCATGATAGGCACAATCTGGTCGTGAGCCATTAACTGTTTACTAAAGCAAAAGCAGAGGTACGTAACGACCAGCTGGATGGTTTATAGTAACTGCACTCACTTTGCAATTTCTTCAACATATTTTTTTATCTTATTGTTGTTTCTCACTGTACGTAGTCTGTTTTTCTTGTGTCAGCTTCGGTTTAAATCAGTGATCTCAGCACGATGTTCTCAGGGGCCACATGTCTTAGATCTGCTTCAACACACCTGAAATAAATGACTGAAGGACATTCAGATGTAATTTCATCATTGAATAACAACTAAACCTAATCTAAAGTCATTTTCCTCAGACGACCATAAATTTGACAGACAAATGGAAGATTTGGAAAGCAGTTGTTATTTTGCCCTATATTAACTTAGCGTTTTATGGACAAAATAAATGTTTGCTAATCTAATTTGGACTCAAAGATGTTTTGGAGCAATGTGTCAACTGGACCACAGTGGGATTCACTTCTTTTTTCTTTTCACAACTCAGATTGATCTACAGTACACATATTTTTTCAACACATCTGCTCATAAAAAGGAGTTAATCCCTGTTGAGCAAAAACAACACAAGCAGGAGCATTTTCACTTCTGCATCAGATCGTAAAATCCTTTTTAAATGGCATCATATCCTGCTGCTTTAAACCTTTTGCCTTTTCCATGTCTGTCTTTTGGAAAACTCTCGCTATCAAAAAAAACATCAGTCGAACTAAAGTGTTCCCAAAGAGTTCTGCTTTCATGTTCATACAGTTCTGCTTTCAGTTAAACGATGATGAAACACATATTTCTCTCCAAATCTAATCCTTCTTCAAAAACTTGCCATGCTGGATTAAATTAAATGCTTGATATATTTAATTCATACTTTATCAGCATATTTAGTAAAACACTTCAATGTATATATATGTATATATATATAATCCTTTTACCTTGATTTGACAAAATAAAACTTTTAAATAAAACAAATTTCTGTGCAATATCTCTCAGTTTACAGTTTCATCTCAATTATTTCCTCTTGCTACATCTCAATTCAGTGTATCTTAACTTCCATCAACCCATGGCCTTTTCAAAAACAGATTGTATTAATCCATCAGCCAGAAATAATTCTCAGGTTCAGTCAAATGCAAATGTAGTTATATTGTTTTTATTGGACAAGGGGAGCCCAACAACAACCCAAAGAATATATGAGCAGCAGCAAATTGATGGAGTGCAGATAATCATCTGGTCCGCAGGGACAAACTCCTTTAATGAATCATCCAAATTTCTTCTCTCTTCCTCTCTGCACTCTGTTGAAAGATTATTGTGCCTAACGTCACCAACAGGAGTAGATGGGCTTTAATAGAAAGGTACTGTTTCAGTGGGGACGCAAAATGAGTCACTACGCTTTTCAAGAGGGCATGCACTTAAATATGATATAGGCACAAATATCATTATCCTTTTGACCAGACAGCAGGGGAGGATGTTTTCTCCCGCCTGTGTGTGTGCACATGCATCTTGTTATCGGTCCAAACTTACAGAAAATATTCAAAGGATGTGCATCTACAGCTGATTAACATTTGGAGTCAACCTGATTAAAGATGGCTGCCATGCCTTTAGCAAACACAAAAACGATTAGTATGTCTGTTTTACAGATTGAGATCTGAGCTGAATTTTGGTGAAAATCATTATTAATATGATTGCAAGATTTCACAGCATTAAATGAACATTTGCCAAAATGGCTACAGTTTATTCTCAGCATATGATTATGCAGGTCTAAAACTCTGGCAATAAATGTGGCAGGTGTTATGCATTCCTTCAAGGTAAGTCTTTCATTTGTCATGGAAAGCCTTATTTTTGATGGCTGCAGCAGCTGCAGGATCCACCTCTGGTTATGTTTAACAGAACGTGTGTTGTGGCTGTGCTTCCTGCCTCCAGACCTTGTCCCGTCTGCATCCTGAGTGCGAATACATATTTCAGCTGGAGAAGGATGAGCGCCAGTGCCTTCAGTACATTGCAGAGCTGGGAAACAGAAGTATGGAAGGTGTGTGTCCCCCCCCCCCCCACACACACACACCCACACACCCACATCATCAAGCCTGTAGCTATCTACTCATAAATCCACGAATGGGAGTTTTTAGTTGGAAAGATGGTCACAGTGTACAAGTATACACTGAAATGAATGCTTCACAGTTGTCTGAGAGGATTTATTTATTGCATCTGAACTGCTGAATGAAAATGCAGTGGATGATCAATCACTATGATTCATAAGGTATTTATGATTCATAAGGTTAAGGCATTTGGGATAGTTACAGAAGGATTTGTGTGTGTACTCCAACTCTTAGAATAAAGGTCAGCTGCAGTGGTTTTATATTAATTTAGTTACATTTTAGTTAAAGAAATGTTCAGACTGGTCATCTGGATGGTTTCTTTTTTTGCTTAGACATTTCATCCTTCATCCAAAGGACTTCTTCAGTCCGAGGAGACACAAACGAACTAGAGTCCCACAAATACCACACTCCCGTAGCGGGGGGAAAAAAAAAACGGTTTGCTGGTGATAGAATGGTTTCTGGGGCCCACCCTCTCCCCTGTTAACTCCTCTGGGGCAGTCATGCCTCAATGGTACAAAACACCAAAGTCCATGCTCAATAATCCAGGTATAAAATCCAACAATGTTCAGTCAGGTCGTCTGGACGATTTCTTTTTTTTAGCTGAGACGTGTCTGAGACAGCCCCAGAAACCATCTTATCACCAGCAAAATGTTTTTATTTTTTCCACAATGGGAGTGTGGTATTTGTGGGACTCCAATTTGTTTGTGCCTCCTTGAACTGAAGAAGTCCTTTTTTATGAAGTACAAAACGTCTCAGCGTTAAAAAAAAAACGTCCAGGAGACCTGACTGAACATTGTTGGATTTGTACCTGGATTACTGAGCATGAACTTTGATGAAATATTGTCATCATTGCAGACATCGATCCTCTGTTGGTATTTATTTCTAATGAGTGCTTCTGTTTCTCACAAGCACGTTTAACCAGTTTCTCTGTGAACCTCTGAACAGGTTGCTGGCCGTTCTGGGATGCTGTCGCCTGCTGGCCTCAAGCAGACACTGGAGAAACGGTCCAGAGAGGCTGTCCTGCAGTTTTCTCTCTTTTCAGGAACAACACAGGTAAGAGACTAAAAATAAATCAGATCCCGACTGTGATGCAGAGCTAAAATATTTAGCAGAAATCAAACTCGATAAGAATGCATAAGAATATGTTTATTATATTTAGTTTATTTGCATGGATATTTTGTGGTTAAATCAATTATTTAAAACTTTTAAAGTCGGGTTGTAATGAACAAATAATATCTGTTCTAGATAGGCCTTTGAAAGCACTTGGATTGAAGAAATACAATTTAACTTTGACACAAGTGACAACCTAAGGGGGTAGCCCACGTGAGAAACAAGCCGAGGATTTCAAAAGTCTTAAATTTCACAACGGTTAAATCAAACACTATTTTATAGGCCTCTATGTTGCTGTCAGTGTAGCAGTACACAATTATTTATATATAGGACTTCGCTATAAATTTCTGATCTGTTTTTTTATGACATGATTACCAGATTAGCACATATGCTATCTAATTGGCTCTGTCAGGTTTAGGAACATTTACAAGTAGTGAAAATAAAGTTACATTTAGTTTATAAAATTTGTGAAGAAATAAAGATGCTAATGCATTGCAAAGCTTCGTAACACAACATAAGCCTTCAGTCTAAATGCATTTGATAAGTTTGTTAAATATCTGTGAATTGTTCTGATGACATGAATCACAATCATTCTCTCTGAGTGTAAAGGTTTGTGTGACATCAGACTTATTGAGTGTAGCTATATATATAAACATAATAATAATAATAAGTGCATTATTTCCAATACATTAGTGTTTAATGTTCTACGAAAGATCATCTGGTTTGTCATCTGTGTTTTTGCCGTTTTTCTGGTTGCAACTTAAAAAACAGATGCTGACATTTCACAGGAGGATAAGTTACTCTGATAAGACATGAAAGCAGCATAATGTCAGCTTTCTAACATATTCACAAGCACTTGAAGCTTGTGGGAAATCTGTTAGTTATAAAATTGTAATAAATCGTCCGAGTTTAATAAACATAAACAATCAAAAGGGGATTTTGTCCATCTTCTATTCTTGTTCTGTTCTATTCAGAGTAGCTGTAACATTTTGTACCATAAAAGACAAGTTACATTCTGAGCACATGTCCAGTTCATTAAAAGACTATCAACAACAAACAACAAACAAACCATTCATGCAATAGATTTTAAATCCTCAAGAAATCAAATTTGTGAGAAAACAAGGGGCCCACAGAGAAAAATGATGCAGGTGCATTGTTGACATACAAATGAAGACCCCATCAAGTTTCAGATAAGGAACGTGCATCTTGTAACGCCACCGTACATACATCACCGCACCACTTAAAAATCATCTACAACCAAAACGACTCACTGGAGTCGAATGCTGACTGTCAAATGGTCTGAGTTAGACAGCCATGGATGGCATCACTGTTGTCTGTGTGGAACAAAAAAGCAATGATTTATAAATAAACAAACAAAAAAAACGTAGAAGAAATTTTAGTTTGTTTATCTACTATGAATTTACACACGGCAAAAATAAAATCTCAGTTACAGTGAAACATGGCAGAGGTTTTATCATAATGTGGGATGGCTGTTCATCTCTCCTATATGGAGTCTGAATTTATAGAAGAAGTATCAAATCAACAGGTTCAAACAGATTTTTGTGGGTAAAATGAGCTAGAATCTGTAAAAAGATTGAACGTATTGAAAATGAAAAGCACAAATCCCACAATGTAGGAGTGTATCAATTATAGTATGTTAAAGGAAAAAGACCCAAAATACTGAGGTCTCAGGCAGGAAGCTACAATACGAGACATAAAACTAAAAGTGCTGCTCAGACCAAAATAAGTAAGTGGTCAAAGAAGGGAACACAAAACTTCAGAAACAAAATCTAAAACTAACCTGACAAAATGCAATAAAGATCTCGTAAAATCAAATGAAACAATATAGCTCAAAGGTAAAACAACATAAACCCTTTAGACCATGGCAGTGTAAGTGAAACTCAAAGAAGAGGCACATTTTGGTGACTCTGAGAGACACATATAAATGTTGATCTCTCTGTACTCCGGTGAAGACAGACGTGTCTCCCTGAGTCCCCCCACCCCCCAGCTTCCCTGCTTGCACTCTTTTGTCCTGTGAACCCTTAAAAAGCCTCTTTTTTTTTTCCTGCATACCTCTTAATTCAAAGGATCAGCTGGTCTCTCAACAAAATTGATCCACTTCTCCCGACAGGAGTGAGGGTAAGGAGGACCCTCTTACCTCGACGGAAACAAATTAGATTCATGATGACAACTGGTTATTTTGCTATTTGGCTGGTGAATTCTGGATTGTCTATAAATTTGTGTGGATGTGTCGAAGCTTGACAGCGCTCAGACTGAATTTGTGGAATGTGCCAGAGAACTGGAGCAGCTGTTATCAGGACTGTGTACTCTCAGCACACATGAAAAAGGGAAATAATCTTGGAGAAGCTGTGAGCTCGACTTTTGGCATAAAGGATTAACTTGACTATTTTGGAGTTTCTATCAGAGGAATATACCAACAAGACTTTTAAGGCAGAAAACAGCAATTTACGAGTTCTGCCTGACACAAACTGTGGCCTTGACGCCCGAACTTTTCTCAACTCCTCCTGGCATGTTTTGAAAACATCAAAGATGCTTTGTCTGTCTCCTCACCACTCCCTTCCCCAAGGCCGTGGACATGTAACAGAACCCCAACTGAGCTGATGATGAATGTCACCTCTTATCTGGACAATGGCTGAGGGGGGGCTCTGGACTATGCTACGACTTTCCCTTAAAAATTCAATGTTGTCACCGCCTATATGTACATGTATAATGTCTGTTTATGTTGCTTTGCTGTGGTAGGGTTTTTTTTATGCCTCAAATCGTGCCCTGTCTAGGACACGGTGTGAGAGATCTTTTTTTTATACAGTCTCTCCTCATGTTTTCTTCCCTTTTCTCATCTAAGTAAAATATTATTCTGAATAAGAATGAGGGCTGCACTTTTCATAGTAGCAGCTTCTTGTACTCCGCCCATCTTTCGGACGACTGTACGTACATGTTCTTGTTGTATCTTGGTGCAGCAATCCATCCATCCATCCATTATCTTTTACCCGCTTCTTCCATTTTGGGTCACGGGGGTCGCCAGTGCCCATGTCCAGCAATCACTGTGCGAGGGGCGGGGTACACCCTGGACAGGTCACAAATCCATCACAGGAACACATAGAGACAAACAACCATTCACTCTCTCACTAACACCTAGGGACAATTTAGAGTTACCAATCAGCCTAACATGCATGTTTTTTGGTCTGTGGGAGGAAACCGGAGTACCCGGAGAAAACCCATGCATGCACGGAGAGAACATGCAAACTCTACCCAGGAAGGCCCCTGGACCGGGATTTGAACCTGCAACCTTATCGCTGAGAGGCAGCAGCTCTACCAGTTGTGCCACCGTGCCGCCCTAGTGCAATAATAATAATAATAAAGTTTATTCTGATTCTGATTTTGATTTTTGTAGGTACATTTGTCTTCAGTACATAGAATATGTATTTACAGAAACAATACATAAAAAGATCCATTAAGTTGTGGGTGTGCATACTTTATAGCAGGTACTGTATTCAGGAAATTATTTTGACAGGATAAATGCTGAGCTGCCCACTGATCTAAAAAAAGAGAAAATATTTTTCCTGCTAATGGTTCGGGGGTTTCTGCTTCTTCTAATTTAAACTCGGTGGTGGTTTTCCTCCTGCTGTGATTAGAAAGGAGTGAACATGAATTTTGACAGCTCTGTTGCAGGATCAGACCAGGGGTCAGTGAACAAAAGTCCAACTCCTTCTTCTTCTTCTTTCGGCTTTTCCTTCTTCAGGGGTCTCCACAGCGAGTCATCCTCCTCCATCTCTGTCCTCTGCATCCTCTGTCCTCACTCCAACTACCTCCATGTCCTCTCTAACTGCATCCATATATCTCCTTTTTGTCTTTTTCCTGGCAGCTGCATTTCTAACTTCCTTCTACCATTGTCCCTCCTCTGGACATGTCCAAACAATCTCAGTCTGGCCTCTCTAACTTTATCTCCCAGTTGTTCAACCTGTGCTGTACCTCTGATGATCTCATTCCTATTGTCCATTGTCGTCACTCCTAAGGAGAACCTCAACATCTTCATTTCTGCCACTTCCAGTTCTTTCTCCTGTTTTTGTCACTGTCTCCAGACCATACAACATAGCTGGTGTCACCATTGTCTTGTAAATGTCCAAATGAAACAAGAGTGTTAGGAGGAAAGTTATGTGAGAATGTACAGTATTGTGGGGAAATAATGCAGCCCAGTCAAAAGGATTTTGGTGAGATGTAAAATTTTCTAAAGTGTCAATCAGGAAAAAAGAAGTGCCTTTCACAGATCAATAGTTTTACATCCAGCTGTTCTGAGCAAAGAGAACAATGTTATACCAACCTGAGGGAAACATTCAGATTACAAGTTTGATTAGATGTTTATATTTTTTTAACGGATCTCTTTTATTTTTTAACTGGATCAGCCTAATGTGATTAAAGTTATCACACCAGGCATTTTTAGTCCTGGAAATGATAATTTTAATGGAAAGATGTGCATGTAATATTTCTGCAACCAAAAATTACTTGAGTGTGGGAACCACATGATGTTTGTTGTACATTTTGCACATTTTCATTTAGGATGGTGGTTGATTACAGCTAAATACTTTAATATCACTCAGTTTTGTTGGCAGGGAATCCTATATATTTGCAGGTGTCTTTATGTGCGCTTGTGTCATGTGAACCACTGGACAGGTTTTAATTACATTTTTGGTAAGCAATGACTGGATGCACATCTACAATTGAATAAATTTCAAGTCAACTATACAAGATGGCTGCAGACTATTACTGGGTCAGTTTTACAGACACCGAGCTACAGTATCATTTGAACTGTTTCTATCTGAGCACCATCCCCATCACATGCTCTGTGTGTTACTTTTCCACAACTTCTTAGGCTTACAATTTGCCATTACTGTTTGAGGTCAACAATGTTGTCTGTTAGCAAAATATCTCATGAATGATTGGACGCATTTTAATTAAACTTTCAAAGTAATCATAGCCTATGCATCTACAACAGATCAGCTTTTGGAGTCAACTCAGTTTCAGATCTGCGGCAACTAATGCCTCTTTAGTTATTTAGTGTCTTGACAAAAACTTCTTAAAATTTATCAAGCAAATAACAGCAAAGGTTTGTTAAAAATAAATAAATAAATCTCAAACTGCTTGATCTACCAAGCATTATAAAGTGTCTAGTATTTGTAGAGCCCGGTCTGGCCTGGACTGGATACAGCCGGCCCAGCCCCGGTCTTCCCCGGCTCTGGTTTTGTTTGCTTTCAGCAGAGTGTCACCTCGATGTGGGTATGATCGTTGTAGCAAGACCATGAGAATCTCAGCATCTCGTTGTTTTTCCAGGACACTGGTGCTATCTTCTGTGTTGCCATTTATTGTAAAGAAAACTAGGAAAACTTTTAACTCTCTCTATCCCACAACTGGACAGAAGCAAATAGCTGAAGGAAATGGTGCTACAGAGCAGTCGCTGGAAGTTTGACTCATCTGTGACATGAGCCCTGATCCAGCGAGCCAATCAATTGCCAGCAGTCAGAAATGGGCAGGTCTGCCCAATGCCAACACTCAAAACCCGGGACGAACCCAGGCTGGCCCAGTCCAGGCTGGGCCTTACAACGCATAAGCACCAAAACTGACCTTAGTAAACACAAAAAATGGCTCTAACTCAGAGAATTTTACAAATATGGAGCTGAAACTTGCTGTGGTAGTAGCCAAGAGTCATCCTCAATACAAAGTCCAAGCACATGAGATCTTCCAAAATTGCAAAAAAGTTATACATATTTTAATTTTCAAGATTTGACCAAAATGGGTGTGTCTCAATATAAGATGATCTTAGTTTTAAACTGGGCAGCACGGTGGTGCAACTGGTAGAGCTGTTGCCTCTCAGCGAGCAGGTCCTTGGTTCAAACCCCGGTCCAGGGGCCCTTCTGGGTGGAGTTTGCATGTTCTCTCCGTGCATGTGTGGGTTTTCTCCGGGTACTCCGGTTTCCTCCCACAGACCAAAAACATGCATGTTAGACTGACTGGTAAGGTAACTCTAAATTGTCTCTAGGTGTGAGTGAGAGAGTGAATGGTTGTTTGTCTCTATGTGTCCCTGTGATGGACTTGTGACCCGTCCAGGGTGTACCCCGCCCCTCGCACAGTGATTGCTGGACATGGGCACCGGCGACCCCCGTGAACCAAAATGGAACAAGCGGGTAAAGGTAATGGATGGATGGATAGTTTTAAACTTTGGCATGAAAGGCAGTGAGGATATATTTTCCTTCAAGAAATGCTAGATTCTTAATTGTTAATGTTTTGTTTATGCAAAATTGTTTCATTGTTTACACTTTGTTTGACATTTCTTGAATATAGAAATTGTTTTCTCTTGGATAATGGGGGTAGTAACAGAGCTGGAAGCCACTCTGTGACTTTGACTTCTGGATGTCACTCTAGGGTCAGTGAGCCGAAACTGCACTAGTAGAGGCTGGTCAAAGCCTTTCCCACCATACCATGTCGCCTGCAGCGTGGATGATGACATTCCTGAGGTAAGAGCTGCTGAGGCGTAGCAGGTGAAGAGGTCAAACAAAGGTATCCAGAAACTCCAGAACAAAGGAGAACGTTAGAAACAAGAAGAGAAGCAGCAGCTGGGTGCTGAACTGAAATTTTACAAATTAGGACAAATACAAGGACAACCAAACACCAGACTGTAAACAAGCTAAAGAAAATATTGTTCGGTGTTTGAAGTGATGCATGCGTCTTATAAAAATCAAAATATATCGATCTCCTGGTGATTTATGGTAAAATAATTTATTCAACTGTAAATCTGCAAATAACTTTATTAAGACCGAATTGTCACTCAAACTTTGAATACTGAAATTATGTTATTTACAAAGAAAATGGATAATGGTACTTAATCGTACAGTTGTGTTTGGGATATTCTAGCCTTGGTGTCAGGTGAAGCATCTCTTGTTTTGATGTAAAAGGTTTTTCAAATGTTCAAAAAGCTGGAATGAAAAGAGCAGTTCTTTCAGTCATGTTCTCAGTGCAGTTAAGCCTCAAGTTTACTAGTAATTGTCTTATTTTGACACATTAAATTGATTTTCAGACTTGTCAGCCTTTTGAAAAGCTTTGATATTTGAAAATAATATATTTGCATGCTAAGTCCTCCGACCTGCTTTGCTTTTAGACTGAGGAGTCGTACTTCGCCACTGTGAAGCTGATTTACACCATCGGCTACAGCATCTCTCTGGGAGTGCTAGCTGTTGCTATTTTCATCCTGCTGCTCTTCAGGTACGAACCAAGTGGTGGGAATTCATGTTTATTCAGAGTTTCATCAGCAACAAGTGTATTTTTGTGAACTTTGTTGAGTACAGTGCAATTTAGTCCGATTAAATCTGGACTTCATGAAACAACTTACATAAAAAAAAAAAAAATAAATAAAAAAAACCACTGTTAAAACATGACTCCATAAAGATTTTTGTAAAAAATCGTTATTAAGTTATTTCAAGATTTTCATACTTAGCACACAATTTGTTTAGTTTTGCTGCTATATAAACTGCTTTGGATATATGTTATAACAATCAGCAGATGGATTTAGTTTAACATGAAAACTGTAAGCAGAGGAAACAATGTGCAGGTTCAGCCTGAAATAAATGACAGGAAAACCCATTGCATTTTACTTTAAGGTTACTGTAGCTTTTTCCTCTATTCGTCTGCAATGTTGTTGATGACATTTCTGAGTTTGCTGAGGTGAGACAGCTTAAGAGGTGACATGGAGAATTGAGAGACTGAAGATTAAGTGCCCAGAGGTCAGCGAGAATGTTAGACACAGGAGGAGACGCAGCAGGAATGAACAGACCGCTGATGGGAAAAGAAAAGCTGCTCAAAGGACATTGGAGGACAAATGGAAGGACAACCAAACCAACAAATAAAAACACTCCGAACATGCAAAAAAAAAAAAAAGGAGAGAAAAATAAAAAGTTTTCTGTTTCATTTAAATGTCATGCACACCTGCTTTCATCTGATACCCTGAAAATGATTTGACGAACAAAGCACCTTCATTACACAGCACCACAAAACAATGATAATCTCTGAAAACAATTAAAATAATGAGAAATTTTAATGTCAAGGTTCCTTTATTGTCATTCGCATTGCATGTGGTGGAATGAAATTGTGTACACAGGGTCCCGTGTGTGTGTGTGTGTGTGTGTGTGTGTGGGGGGGGGGGGGGGGTG